TGCAAGAATCGGTTTAAAATCCCGATGTTATTAATTGCTCTGATCGACAACGAGTTGTAAAAGGACCAAAAATCCAGTGAGATTCAAATTTCATGTCTGTTTTCATAGTGCTGTCAAGCTCTGATGCTTTTTGCTTCATTCCTTCTCGATAGTTCTTGGGATCTAACCAAAGGAATATGTTCACTACCATAATGCTTTGAGCTATAGGTATAAACTACACCTTGACGATCCCGAATATTCTTTTCCCCACGTTACTTTGTCCATGATTTTGCATGTTATTGTGTTCTGAAGATTTTCTTGAGGCAGGATTTCTAAATCATCTGCTTGCTGTAGATCACGATTGGTTCCGCAGCATCGGATTCTTGTGCTGGTGACGCTGGTGTACCACATAACGTACGCGCAAGTTTCGTCTCCGAAGCGACCATCCAGTTCACATGGGAGAAACCGCAGTGCGATGAATCCTACGGGCCAATTGATGGCTATGAATATACGGTTACTACTTTATAATATTGCTATCATTAGTTTATCATACATCGGTAAGTGAACCCTGCGTAGGACATTGGCTGCTTTGATGACTCTGAAAGAGACGATTTGCGTATTTGGCGGGGATGACAAATGAGTGCTGAAGAGTATCCGATATAATTGCGGTCGACTTGCTTGTAAGTTCTAGGCTATTACACCTGGCTGTGGTGATACACCAGGCTGTTTGAGCGTTTTTCAAAGGCTTGAAGCTTTCAGTAATTTTCGAAAATTTTTAAAGAAATTACTTTTTCGTACCTATTATCTCGGTATTAAAAAATACGTTAAGTTGTTTTTTTACGTTTAATGTTACCTTGTTTATGCTTCTAGGTTTGCAAGTTTCAAAAATTCGCTGTATGTTTTCGAGCCTTGTACCTAATGTTGCTTTATTAAGGTTGCACGTGAAAATGCTTTAAAAAACAGGGCTCAGGAAAAGGCAACGACTACGTGTGTGTGGTACTGAAAGTCTTGTGTCCTTAGTTAGCCACTACGTTTATAGACCGCTTTCTTGAATATCTGCTGTTTGGTCATAGAATGTTATCCAATATGACGTTCCTTCGGTAGACACTGTCGGAATTTTTTATTCAATGTTACAGTTCTGGAACGTCGAAACTGATACGCAACCGCAAACAGCGTCTTATATTGGTCGGAATACGGTAGCGCTGAATGATCTAGAACCCGGTTCGCGGTACGCATTTCGAGTTCGTTCCCGCGCAGGTCATGGGCACAGTTCCTGGAGTGATATTGTTCATGCAGAAACAGAAGCACATTCCGGTTCGCTCGGTAAGTTATATAGAAAAATAAGCAACTGTCATTTTCATTTTCTAACTATGGTATTCTCATGAAATATATCTGCGGTAGCTTTTCAGCGAAGGATGGACTCTGTCCGATAGCACACAGCATTTGTTTTTGGTTCTTACTATTGTGGCATTTAAAATTGTATCGGCGTTACTGTAACAGTCTTGGTTTCTTGGAACCATAGAGTGTTTGTAATTCAATTCGAAAGCAAGAAAACGAGTTACGATTAAGTGGCACCTGCACAGTTCACCTTTTCCACAAAAGTTTTGTTCGCACCATGAGATTTTTATTTCTTTGTCACACTGTATTTGTCTTTGACAAAGACACCTGGGGCCACTACCGTTTTCGAATCGTTATCTTGCATCCAAAGACTGACACCGTTTTTTGATCCTGGGGATTGTTGCCATTTTCGGATCACCATCAGGCACTTGAGATGTGTTTAAATGAAGCTCACCTATACATGCCTGGCACGCACACTTGCCTGGCACTGATTTATTTTATCGTAACAAATCAAAAGAATGAATTTATTTCAGTATTTGATTTTCTGTGATTATGCACCACAAATTCTTATTTTTAAAGCACTGTTAATTTCGATAATTTACTTTTTTATTTTAGATTGATCAAATTTTTAACATAAACTAACTTCATATAAGTGTAATAACATGCTTTGGGGCTTATTGGTGAAAATATTTTACACTAAACTCAATTCCGTTTCTTCCTTCTCTTCTTGTCCATGTCTTTTTAACCGAAATTGAAAGGAATTCTCCCTCCTCTTCCTTTCCCAGTCAAAAAAAGGCTTTTAAAATAACCTGTTTTGCTTCCTGAAACCTGTTGAATCTTTAAAAAGTGGCTCCTATCAGTTATACATGAAAATTGAATTTTAGCTCTAATATTCATTAATTTACTTTTCGCAGTCTTACTGCACAAGCAACTTCCACGGTTCTGTTGTTCAAAAACTTCTTTGGTTACAGTTATTATGTTACGTTTCGTATACTAACATTTAGCATTTACCGGTAAAGCCGATTCTCAATATCAGCATCGCCATCGTCATCGTTATCGTCCACAATTAACCAAAAATAACACGCTTCTTGCCCAGTTATCAGCCACACCAACACTGCTACTGCAACGTGTTAAGCGACAGCAAAAAAGTCAGATTACAGGTAATTAAGGTAACTTCTATTCGAGCACGAAAACTTTTGAGATGTCTTAGAAGCGCGAGAGACTACTTTACTTGGGGAGTGATGAGTTCTGTAGGAGAAGCCGAGGCAGCAAAGTAATAGCGCATATATGCCAAGAACACCAAAATCGTTCGGACAATCGTTGTGAGGATTTCTGCACTGGCACTCCTGTAGGCCGAGCACAGCTCTGTTAGGAAGAAATATTTGAAGCCGTACTTCTGCCTTGAAAGCAAAATCTCAGTAGAGCCGTCAGTTTTGGTTAGTTTGGTG